AAGCAGGAGAAGGGAAGGTAGAGGTATCTGTTCATCGGCTTCTGAAAAGTGCCGAGGTCAAGACGACCGCACTCCTTGAAACACTGCCCCTTGTGAAGGACAACATCCAGAAAATCAACGGAGTGCTCCGAGATATTCCACGTGATCCTGATGGAAGGATCGAAGCCGTTGAAGGTTCGCAGGTACTCCTCCAGGTCAGCCCGCGAGCCTAGCCAAATGATAAGGCCGTTGTCGATGTAACGGACGTGGTAACTTGGTGATATCCCGGTCCACCTCTCCTTAAGCAGCTCATCGGGACAGCTCATAAAGAGGACCGCAAAGCAGAGTGCAACCGGAGTTCCCATCGCAGTGCCTTGTACTTGATGAAAAATCCTGCCGTCGAATTCCACGAAAGAATTCCTCATGACCCATCCCAAGAAAGCCATGAGCGGTTGAGGGAGCTGTGCTGGTGCCCTCAGAAGAAGATTGCTAACTGCTTCGAGCCCTCGATCGATGGAGATGCTTGGGTAGAGCGAGGTGACGTCGTAGGTGGCCAGGAGTACAGTTGGTGGAAAAACCGTAGCTTCCAGCTTCGCTAGCAAAGAGAGGGAGTCGCGCAGGTAGGTCGGTTGTTTGAGAACTAGTGGTCGTAGCTGAGAATCCAGCCATCGGCTCACATTAGTCGTGACCCAGGAGTGTGAGGCGACGATCGGTCGTCCCACGGGTACTTTCTTGTGAAGCTTTGGCAGGATATAGAATGCCGCTGGTCGCCATCCCCCTGGCGGTCGATCGAAAAAATATTTCGAAAGACTGTTAGGAAAAGCAGGTCCCCACGTCGCCTTCAGCTCCGTCAGTTGCTGTAGAACAAAAGGAATTGGGTCGTGACGAACCGGCTGGTACACTGTCGCGTTGTCAAGATGCTCCATGCAGAGAGCGATGTAGTGCGCGCGATCCACCACAGTTACTCCGACGTTTTTGTCAGCAGGCTTGATGACGGTGTCGCTGTCGAGCGATAAGGAGCATAAAGCCGTGCGGACTCCTCGCAAAAGATTGAGTCCATGGGACGGCTTACACGCTTTCAGCAGGAAAGATAGGTCGGCTCGTGCCTCCTTGAAGACATGCTTCGGGACCACGTCCCGCTCGGGTCTCCAGCTTGGATTCTTCACCCGGAAACGTGATGAGGCTGAAGACCCTTGATCCTTGAAGTAAAGACTGAGGGAGATCTTTCGATGCAGTTGATCCAGATATGCTTCGATGAAAAAATTCCATGGCGGCGTAGGTACGAATTTGAGTCCCATCCCGAGCGCCTTGGAGCTCAGGTTGTGTACCCCCCGGTTCCGAACGCGCGACTGCACCTGCCGTAAAGTCAGTCGTCCGAACCGGCGGAGTGCAAGATCGCGTGCAGTTAGTTCATGCGCGGCCCTTTTCCTGGGCCGCCGCTGCCGTTTTTTGGAACTTGGGCCGTAGTCGAGGAAGATTGTTGGCCTTTCCCTCCGCTGCCACTTGGAGACTTTGTTTTCTTCTTGCCTTTCCCTCGCTTCTTCGGAGCCTTCGGTACATCTGCCACGTTCCCAGAAGAGTTATTCTTCGGGTTCTTGGACGGGTCCGCCTTGGGCTTCGAGGACGAGGGGGCCGGTTTGAGATCCTGCGATCCCATTGACAAACTCTTTTGGAAATTTGCAGTCAGCTTTGCCTCGACGGTCGCAGTGACGCTCGTAGTCATGCTCGCCACAACTTCCTTGCGCATCGCCTCGACTTGCCGCTTAGTAGCTTTCAGCACGAGTTCATCGAGTACCGGAGCCGTTACCATTTTCTCCATCTCTTTAGCAGCAGCAGCTTTCTTCAACTCTCCAGCTTCACGCGCCTCCTGTTTGTGCAGCTCCTGGATGACGATCTCATCCTTTGGCGGTGACGATCTCAGACTTGGCCTGCTCGATGCACAATGCCTTGATCCTCCGAAAGCGCTTCTTAGCCGCATCAGATACGGTGAGCTCGGGGTCGGAGCTGAGGCCTTGTATGTAGTCTTCAAGGTTGGCCGCCAGAACTGCCACGTGAGAGGCGGATGCTGACTGAATTTCCTCAACCTCCGTCTGCTTGGACTTGATGAAATCTTCGTGAATGCGCTTCTGGTTCTCGAGATGAACAGAGGCGACCGATGCAGCCGACTTTTCCCGCGTCAGAGGGTACTTGGTCTGGAACTCCACGACCTTGGTGCGAAGGCTGTGAAGAATCAGACCTTGCTCATGGAGGGCCTTCATCTTCTTCAGTTTCGATTTCGCCTTGAGGAGTGCCTTGAAGTCCGTCCTGAAGCCCTTGACCGCCGCCGCCGTCCAGCCTTGAAGGGCTCCGGAATGTGAGACACGCGATCGGTAGTCGGGTTGATAGGAGCCTGATCCACAGGCTTGCCGTCTTTCTGGACGTCCATGTCGGCCATGTCGGGAGAATCTTCAGATTGCTTGTCTTGCTCGTCTTCCTCGCGAATCGATGCGGAATTTCCAACTCCTTTGCCGGTGCGGGAACGCTTGTATCCTGCGTAGGTCTTGGAGGAGTGGTCCGCTCCGCGTGGAATCAGTGCGAAACTCGTATCTTCTTCGCCAGCGTCACCCAAAGAAATTGGGAAACCCAATGAACTCGTAGCCATTAAGCGTTAGGGTGGGCTGCAGCGAAGAGGAAAAACTTTAGCAAAAAGAGTGACAGTAGGTAAATTGATACCCCTGTTGAAAACCGAGAATTCGAAGTTCCGAACTCAACTCCACTAGAAGATTAAAATGCAAACTAGTTTCGGCTGACTGGGACAGGCCCCAAATCAGACCTTCATCAGTGCTGGTGGAATTATAAAAGTGAGTTTACAAGCGAGCTTTTAAACAGAAACTGCACTACGAGAACAACAACTTCAAGGTTGGAACAACCGTGACTGAAATCTGGTCAGCAAATCCAAAACACCCTGGAAAGCTCCAAGGTGTCAGGTCTTCATTCCTCGGGACGTGTCGTGGATAACCCACATCTTGCCAGCTGGTGCTCAGGGAGCCTCGCGTGAACGAGTAACTTTTGCAAGTTATGCCCAGCCTTCCATGCGACAAAAATTATCTCAGTGTATAATCCGTGTCTAATGAGTCGATTTTTGAGTCGACTCAAAAATCGACTCATTACACACTCAACTTCTTCCCTCTTTCTGCACGTCCCTGTTCCACTCTCTGCTCCTCTCACTCTCTCCTCACCTTTCTGCCCTCGTGAGGAGGCCGGCATGAATGGGCGCTAGGGGCCAGCGTGAAAAAGCTCGAGGGCCGGCTAGGACGGGCGCGAGGGGCCGGCAGGAACGGGCGCTGGGCGCGCGGGCCGGCGAGAACGGGCGCGAGGAGGCCGGCAGGAACGGCGCTAGGGGGGCCGGCGTGAACGGGCGCGAGGGGCCGTCAGGAACGGGTGCTAGGGGGGGCCAGCGTGAACGGGCGCGAGGGGCCGTCAGGAACGAGCGCTAGGGGCCGGGGGGAACGGACGCGCGGCTAGCAAGGAACAGCGCGACTAGGGGGAATGGGCGGCTAGGACCTAGAGCGGAAGCGTGAGCGGGCAGCGGGACCTACCTACTGCTGATACCATCTTACAACTGAATAATGGATTAGAATAGGAGGGTACAAGGTAATATAAGCTAGTGAGTTGAACCCTCTAAGGCACAAACCTGTATAGTCTACTGCAACATACTAAGATAAGTATGACAAAAATAACTTTTCAATCAGCATCCACCTCTGAAAAAAGGCCAGCCAATCAGCATTACCCTATCCCAAAACCCTGAAAAAAGGCTGAATCAGCGTTAAAAGTCTGATATCTAGGGGCCTGGTCCATAACAAATGTCTTCTGCATGCCGTATGACACAAGTTCACTCAGCAACGGGGTGAGTAAGAAGTGGAAGATTCTTTCCCATTCTCATGTGACCCCTCTCCCACTCCCACACTACTTCAACGATGCCTTGAGAGCATGGAAGGCGTCTTCACAGCAGCGAAGGAGAAAGGCTGGATCGGGCACATTCTCCTTCAGAGCTGACAGCACTATGTGCGCCGAGCCGTTGTACGTCTGGAAATGCAGAGTGAGCGCCTGATGGAGGGGAGAGGCGTCGCGGGGAACAGGGGCAGTTGTAGAATGCAGTGTCAAAAGGGTGGATCAAATACATCCTCCCCTAAGTCTGACAGTATTATGGCGCCAAGCCAGGTGGGGCCTGGCTTGGCGCCATCACTCACCCCGCACCTACTGCCCATCACTCACCCCAACCTATCGCCCATCACTCACCCCAACCTATCGCCCATCACTCACCCGCACCCATCGCCAATCACTCACCCCAACCTATCGCCCATCACTCACCCCAACCTATCGCCCATCACTCACCCCAACCTATCGCCCATCACTCACCCCAACCTATCGCCCATCACTCACCCGCACCTATCGCCCATCACTCACCCCAACCTATCGCCCATCACTCACCCCAACCTATCGCCCATCACTCACCCCGACCTATCACCCATCACCCACATCACTCACATGCGGCTGCCCCACAACGGTGGGGCTGATGCGGGCGATGGCATGGCCGCCCAAGCTGACCTCCTCCACAGGCCCCATCATGTTGGAAAACGAAATGGTGGTCTGCTGGAACAGGCGGTGCATCAGCGCTCCCGCTGCCTGGAAGCGGAGGCAAGATCAAGAGAGGTGGCAGGGGAGGGGGTTGGGACCTCCTCCACGGGCCCCATCATGTTAGAAAAGGACATGCTGGTCGGATGGCATGGCACTGGCTGTGTGCACAGCGCTGCTGCTTGCTTGGGGGGTTGAGAGGGGTTAGGAGCGGGGTTCAAGAGGAATCAGGGAGAGAGATATGACCTCCTCCGCCGGGCGCATCATGTTGTGAAACGAAATGGTGGTCTGAAGGCACACGCCGTGCATCAGGGCTCCTGCAGCTTGGGGGGGAGGAGGGGAGAAGGTGGGTAGGGGGGGGGAGAGGGGAAGGGGGGGGGGGGAGGGGGGAGGCGAGACAAGTGAGCTTGAAAAGACAGGCAGAACATCGTTTTGAGGCGTCTCAAAACTTGAAAAGGCAGGCAGAGCATCGGTGTGAAAAGGCAGGCAGAGCATCGGTGTGAAAAGGCAGGCAGAGCATCGGTGTGAAAAGGCAGGCAGAGCATCGGTGTGAAAAGGCAGGCAGAGCATCGGTGTGAAAAGGCAGGCAGAGCATCTGCCTGAAAAGGCAGACAGAGCATCGGTGTGAAAAGGCAGGCAGAGCATCGGCCTGAAAAGGCAGGCAGAGCATCGGTGTGAAAAGGCAGGCAGAGCATCGGCCTGAAAAGGCAGGGTGCTGCGAATCAGCGCCGCAGCTGCTTGTGACAACTGAGAAGGGCGCGCATGGGCAGAAGGTGGGGAAACACAGCAGGAGTTTGGCAGAGAACAGAGGCAGATGAGAGGAAATAAGGCTGGAGGGGGGGGGGGGGGGGAGGGGGGGGAGAGAGCTTATGTTCATGCCAGCAGCGCCGACTCGCCGAGCAGAGGCTGGCATGCACATAGTTGTAGTGGGAAGCTTTTGAGTTTACTCAAAAACGGAGAGAGTTTAACTTCACGAGGGAGTCGGGCTCGTGTCGGGCTTTTTCCCGCTACAACTACACCCGCGCCACATAATTGTAGTGGGAGGAATCGACAGCACGAGAGACAAAAAGAGGGCCACACGAGAAAGAGATTGGAGAAAAGCACCTTCATGCCAGCAGTGGCGAGCACGAGGCGTGCATTGACATAGTTGTAATGCGCCTCCAGCGACTGACGCTTGGACGCACACATGGCCGCCACCATGCACAGCCGCCGCCCCTCCACCTCCCCTGCTGCCTGCTCATCGCTGCTCTTAAGCCGCCCCACCACCTCCCCTGCCGCATTTTCGTCAGTGTTCTTCACATTTGCCCCCTCCGTATTCGGCAGCCCTTTGGTGAGCGAGGGCGAGTGCACGGGCAAGGGCAGCAGGAACGTGCTGAGGCAGTTGCCCCAGCGCGCCTTGGAGCGACCAGCGAGCATCGAAGCCATTTCCTGGGGAAAGAAATTGAGGAGCACAGAGGAGGGGAGGCGGAAGAAGGGAGGGAGGGAGTGCATGGGAAGAAGGGAGGGAGGGAGTGCATGGGAAGAAGGGAGGGAGTGCGGGGGAAGAAGGGAGGGAGTGCGGGGGAAGAAGGGAGGGAGTGCGGGGGAAGAAGGGAGGGAGTGCGGGGGAAGAAGGGAGGGAGTGCGGGGGAAGAAGGGAGGGAGTGCGGGGGAAGAAGGGAGGGAGATTGATGACAGCAGGGGGTTTGGTCAAGCGAGCTGAGACATGGAAGGTGCAGTGCGGTGATGGCATGGTGCAGTGCGGTACTGACATGGTGCAGTGCAGTGCAGTGGATGCCAGGTTTTGTTGGGGAAGGTATACCTGGACACCAGGCTTGCTTTGGGAAGGTTCTCCCAGGTATACCTTAGACATTGAGTTAGCAAAAAACCAGGGAAGGTTTACCTGAAGTCCAGGCGTGGGGCGGATGTTGACAACGCAGAGCGCACTGAGGCGAACAGAGGGGGGCAGCGGGCAGGTGACGACTGGGGCAGGCTCTCCTGGAGACACTGAGGGAATGGAGACGTGGTATGGAGGAAGGAGAGGAATGGTGGGAGAGGGAGGGGAATTTCGGGAGGGGAAAGGGGTGGTTTGGAGAGAGCGAGGGGGCGGTTAGGAGAGGGAGGAGAGGGTGGTTAGGGATGTATGGGGGGGTTGCCGGAAGCAAGGGATGGTTGGGAGGAGGAAAGGATGATTTGGGATGGTGGTGATGAAACTCACTCAATTGCTCGCTCAGCCTGGTCGTGGTGGCACCGGAGGAGGCAACCAACCTGCTGCCTTCCGAGCAGCCACCAACCTCAAGCGCTGCAGATCATGCATTGTTCTGTGATATACTCTGGTACCTGCTTATAGTGAATCTAAGTCACCTGCCTCCTTAGCCTGGGCGTGGTGGTGCTGCAGGTAGCGGTCCAGCCCGCCTGAGATGATCGTCACCGAGACGTCGTTGATGGTCTGAGGGGGTTATGGAAAGGGGTTGTGGAAAAGGGTTGTGGAAAAGGGGTGGCGAAAGGGGTGGTGAAAGGGTTTGTGAAAGGGGTTGTAAAAAAGGAGTTGTGGAAAGGGGTTGTGGAAAAGGGGTGGCGAAAGGAGTGGTGAAAGGGGTGGTGAAAGGGGTGGTGAAAGGGGTGGCGACAGGGGTGGCGAAAGGGGTGGTGAAAGGGGTGGTGAAAGGGGTGGTGAAAGGGGTGGTGAAAGGGGTGGCGAAAGGGGTGGCGAAAGGGGTGGTGAAAGGGGTGGTGAAAGGGGTGGCGAAAGGGGTGGTGAAAGGGGTGGTGAAAGGGGTGGTGAAAGGGGTGACGAAAGGGGTGGTGAAAGGGGTGGCGACAGGGGTGGCCAAAGGGGTGGCGAAAGGGGTGGTGAAAGGGGTGGTGAAAGGGGTTGTGGTATGGATTGTGGAAGGAATTTCAAGCATACACTCACAATGATGTCAATAATTGAATGATGGGCAGCTGAGCACGCTGTGAACATGGTCATGGTCTCAAGCTGAGTAGTTACTGCACAACACAGTGCGGCACGGCATGGTGTGGCATGGCATGGTGTGGCATGGAATAGCACTGTATGGCGCAGCATACCATGGCAGAGCAAGGCCCAGCCAGCCCCATGCAACTCACTGCACCAAAGGCTCTTCGGACCCTCGAAATGTCACTCAGGGACAGCGGCCCGCTCACTCCAAACACAAACCTCCCCCCATTCTCTCCCCCCCCATTTCCTCCCCCAGCTTCCGCCCCTCCTCTCCCCCCATCCGGCTGCTGTACCACCGCACCTCCTCCCTTCTTCCCCTTCCCTGCCTTCATTTTCACACACGTGTCGGTGTCAGCGCGCCACATCAGCACAGCCATGAAAGCTGCAACGTGCCACAGAGTGTTCCCCAGCACCAACGCCACCTGCCACGCCCTCCTCCGCACCCCCACCACCCCCTTCACCCCCCCTCGCCCTCCCCCTTTCTCCGCCGCACTGCCTGCCCCTTCCTCCCTGGTAGCACCCCCCCCTGCTGCAGCCTGTGCTGCTGTGGGCGTGTCTTCTGTCAGCCCGTCTGGCTGCGGGGTGAAGGGCGAAGCAGTCATCGAGTCAAGGGTGAACGCCGACGCTGCCGACGGCATGTGCAGCTGACCCTGCGGCTGGCCTGGCTTTAATTTCTCATCCTTACTCCAGCCCGCATCACCCAGCTGCTCCTGAAGCTCTCCGCTTACCACCAACCCTTCACTGCCCTCCTCCCCGGGATCTCCATTTGACGCACCCTGCTTGCTCCCCGGCTTCCCATCATCACCCCCGCTTGCTGCCGTTCCTACTGGCCCTTGCACGGGCGGCTGGGAGGGGCTCTGGCGCTTTGCGCCAGGGATAGTGGGGAGGAGGGCGGGGTCGTCGGTGCGGCGCGTGCAGGCCAGCAGGAGGGACATGAGCGACACACCGTCGCCCAGGGAGTGGTGGATGCTGGAAGTGGGCAGACGGGGAGGGGCGGGGAAGGGAAATGAAGAGAGAGGAAAAACGACACAGCATTGTGACATGCGCATGGAGGAGGGCGGGGTGGTGCAGGGCGCGTGCAGGCCAAGAGTGACATGAGCGGCACACTGTCGCCCAGGGAGTGGTGGATGCTGGGGGTAAAACGGAGGGAAAAGGGGGGGAAAGGGGGGGAGATGGGGGGAAAGGGGGGGAAAGGGGGGAAAGGGGGGAAAATGGGGGGAAAGGGGGGGAAAGGGGGGGAAAGAGGGGAGATGGCAGTATCCTTTGGGAGTAAGGCTAGTAGGCGCAAAAGATATAGTGCGAATCAGCTGTATGTGCTGTATCAGAACAGAAGAGCAGAATGTGTCATTCCCGAAAGAGAGCAGCTAGCGGGCATGGGGAAGATACACAAAATAGACCCGCCAGAGAGGACGAGAGGGGTTGAAGGGCGGTATGCATGGGATGTGCTGCTGTGTGTTACTGAGGCGCCTCAAACGCCGTGGGAATCAAGCGACACCGGAAGAGAGCAGCAGAGCAGCCATGGGGCAGAGGCGCGAGGACTCAAAGCCCGTGAATCGTTACTGGAAGAGGGCAGCGGAGCGGCCACGGCAAGAGGACTCAAAACCACATGAGTTCTTACCAAAAGAGAGCAGCAGAGCGGCCGTGGGGCAGAGACACCAGGTGCACGCGCCAGAAAGGGCGGGAGGGGTCGAAGGGCGGCATGTGCTGCAGGCGCCGCATGTGCCACTCCACACTTCCCTCCTCGTAGCACGGGGACTCCGAATCCGCGCTTCTCGATTCTGCCGGACTTGCAGCTCCCTCGGCAGGAGCTGCTCCCTCGTTACTGTCACATTGGTCAGATTCTGTGCCTTCCACGACGTGGTAGGCCAAGTCGACTTGCGTGCGCACCCACACCTGCTCGCCGCCCTTACAGCCACGTTTCTCCTGCCGCATCATTTCGTTTTCAGGTACGAAGCACATAAGATGAGTTGGTGAGAAATCTCATAACCACCTCACCATTGTCATGCGTGACGCACGTGATGCGCACATCGCAGGCAGAGTAAGATGCTTCTACGCGCCTGAAAACGATGACTAACATCCACGAATTTTCTGCATTACTAGCACTATAACCTTGGGAGCAGCGTGGACGCACAACATTGCGTTTGGTTTTGAGGCGCCTCAAAACTAGACCTTGGGAACAGCGCGGACGCACAACATTGCCTTTATCAGACAGGAATCAGAAGACGGCGGGAAAACGGCCTCGTGTAAGGCGACGCGCGTCGTCCAATTTGGTTGGGACGAGCGGATCAAAACGAGACGATGCTATCAAACGAGCGAATTCTATCGAGACAGTCGGATTGGTAACGAGCGGATTGCAATCGGACGACCGGATTGGCGCAGTAAAATGAATGGTGTTACCGGGGCCCTTACTACTACCTGCTCAGTCCTCCACTACCAGGAATTAAAGCCCACGACTTTCGTCTGCCAGGAATTAAAGCCCGCGACTTTAGCCTACCAGGAATTGAAGCCCGCGTCATTCGTTTACCAGGAATCGAATTCCGCGTCTCGTTGCGATGAGAGTCGGCCTAGGTGAAATGGCTTTACCATGCGACTGTGAAACCGAGGATGCTTCAAAAGGGTATCCGAGAGGATCGTCCGGAGCTCGTCGATCGCCAGGCGGTCTTTAAACTCCAGCGCGCACAGCACGGTGGTGTAGAACACGTCCGACAAGAAGAGCCGAGCCGTTGGCGACAGCGGCTGAGCAGAGTCGCTTTGCTCGTTCAGCTGCGTTGACGCCGCGTCTGCTGCGTCGCCTTCCGCACATTGCGGTTTCACCTTCACGGGCGCAAGCTTCGGGTGATCCATTCACGCGGCGTGCGTAGAAGTTAGTTTTCAAGAATTCTCAAAGGGGAACGCGAGAAAGGACACTACCCGAGCTTGCTCACACGACCCGAGTTCTTTTCTGACAAGCCTTGCATGCGAAATGATGAAGGCGTGAGCTTGAGGGTGTATCAGTTGTCATGCCAAGCTCACATGGGAGGGGAGTGGCGCGGCTCTGGCTGTGGCAAAGGCGATCACTACAACTTTGGGTGGGTGATCAGGAGTCAAGGACCCCTTGGGCAACACGAAATGGGTGGCAGGACGGCAGGCATGGATGCAAGAGTGAAAGGAGAGGTAGGACGGTTGCTCCGAGCCTGCCCCTAGCTTGGCTCGACACGAGTAACCCGGAGCGTGGCAGGCATGATTAGCCGGAGCAAAACCGTACCACTCGATGTGGGTGTGGATGTGGATGTGGATCCCACGCCGAGTAGCGTGGAGGGCAACGGCAAAACTGTGAATGAGTGAATGAATAGAAAGCCTAGGGTAATCCTGGACGTAGGATCGGAAGGTTCGGAAAAAGTGCCGAAGGGCCTCGATGTGTCTTAGCGAGGTCCGGAAAGGCCCAGGAGGCTCGAACTAAAAGGTATGGAACCCTATCGCTGGTTCGGGACTGTTCGAGTCGTACGCTCTGTAGCAAGCCTCAGTAAGGAATTATTCATTCCTTACACCATGGACTCTTCAGTAACTTCAGATGTTATGATATAATTCAGAGAAGTGTAGAAGAATGCACTAGAGCCAATGATGAATGACGATACAAATGAGATGCTAGGCTAAATAAAATAAAATTTGACTACCAGGGAACCTCAAGGTTGGGGCACGAAAGCGTCGGGCACAGCTTCATATGCTGTTATGGGCGAGCCTGCACCAGGGTTCTCGTTAGCAGACGAAATCCGTCTGTTCATCTGAGAACCTGACATACTTTTCCCGTGTCATCTGATTTTTTTACAGCCCACAATTTTCCATTTGAATAACCATCAAGTCATATATATATTTTATATATGTTTGTTAGGCTTGGTAGGTGTGCGACATTGCTGAATCCTACAGTAGAGGGGACAACCCCCCACCCCCCCCCCCTTCTTGTGTCTCCTTCTCTTTCTTAGTGCCCCATTTTTTCTCTCCACAATCCTGCCCCCAGCTAAACCTCTCGTCCTTTTCATGGCTACCTACCTAGCTACCTAGCCTACTTTAACATGGTACCAGAGCAGGCCCTTCCGCTCGGGCCTTCTCCTCACGTTTCCGCAGCTTACGCTCCTCCCTCCTGTCAATTCCGCGCCGCCGCCACGGCCATCTCGTGCTGCCATGGTGGCTTTGTCGTGCTGCCGTGGCAGCCTCGACACGCTGCCGTGGCGTCGGCGCCATGCCGTGGCGGCAGCGTCGTGCTGCCATGGCGGCGTCGATGCGCCAGCGCACGGGCTGCTGTGGGCCGCGCACGGCTTTAGCGCCAGCCAGCTCGCCCACACGCCAGCCAGCCCCGCGCCAGCCACGACACGTCGCTGAAGACTCGCCCCTTTTAATTCCTCCCTGCCGCAGCAGCAGGCTGTCTCGTGCCGTTCCCCCCCCTCGTCGGCGCATTGTGAGCCACGCCACCGGGTGCCTCTGGCGCCGCCGCTGCAACCCACCGCTGCAACCCGCCACTGACGTCGCCGATTGAATTCTCGAGGGGTCGACCCGCTGGTCGACGCCACAGCTGCCGCAGGGCATGGGGGTGCACGGGTGTGGGGGTGCTGCGTGTGGGGGTGGGCTTGCCACTACCAAGCCTAGGGGGTGTGTCAAATCATATGTATATTTTATATATATTTGTTAGGCCTGGTAGATGTGCGACATTACTAAATCCTATTGTAGAGGGGACAACTCCCCCCCCCCTTTCTTGTATCTCCTCTTTCTTAGTGCCCCCTTTTTTCTCTCGACAATCCTACCCCTTAGCTAAATATCTCGTCCTTTTCATGGCTACCTACCTAGCTACCTAGCCTACTTTAACACATCTTGGTTATATAAATCTGTCTGAGTTCTCAGACTTGGTGTAGGCAGTCGTCCGGATTTTCAGATAGCGCGTATATTTCCGTCTGAGAGCGTGTTTCTATGGGGCTCTGAGTAGACTCACAATTTGACATGGAAGGCGAAGTGGGTGCGAAAATATATTCGTAGAAAAGGAGTCTCATGGCAAATTCCTATAGTTCGCGTCAGACTGGCGACGAACCGAGACGCACCGCATTGAATTGCAAGGTCAAGCCTGTGCACCGCGCAGGACCGCATGAGTCCGACGTGAGGTGGTCTAACGTGAGGTCATAGGAATCCGCCCTCATTGGTCGCGAAGTCTGGGCACAAGAACAGGAAGCCATTCTCCAGTGTAGCCAATCAAAATTGCTCTGAACTGGCGAGAATGTTGTTGGCAAAGTCAGTCGCAACACACAGTTGAGAAATATCGTCTCGATCAACGATCACGATCTCGACAGTTTACCCACTCTCCTCCCACTCTGGTGGGCGGTACAGTGCGTCCACCTCGTAACCTGGTTCCACCCCCCACCCACCCCCCCCCCCCCCCCCCCCCCCTTCCCCTCCTCCCCCCCTCGGCCACGTGTGTTATCGGGCCTCAAACCTGCTACCCGCGGAATATTTTTGCCGCGTGGCGCGTCATCACCCAAGTATTGTAGTTTATTGTGAAGATGCATTTTTCCTCTGGAAGCTCAAACAATTTGTATGAAAATCCAGACCAGCCCAGGTAGCTCATCTGATGGTCAGACGAAATTTTGAAACCCCGTCTCATTCTCAGACAGCCCTAAAACTTACCAGGAACCCTGGCCTACACCTCCGATGTCTTAGGTGTAGGGTAGTCCTACTAAGGAAGTAGATTTTCCTTATACCTTCCCCCTACTAGACGAGACTACCCACATATCGGATGTGTCGTCGGCATAAATAGGACAACACTACACGTGAGTACTGGGTGAGTACCCACAAATGGTCTTGGTTGGTCTGATCAACCCATTGAACCAGGGCATCCATGCAGCACTGACATGAGTCGCGTCGAACTCAATGGGCCAATCTTGTGTAGCTCACGGTAGGTACGGGTGCTCCCCACTCCTCTCCTGCCCTAGCCTATGCTTCTAGCCTAAGGTTGGCCCTAGTCTGCCGCCCTAGCATGCTCCCTGGCCTGCGCCCTTGTCCAGCCCACTACACGCGCTGCCTGCTGCTCGTGCTACCCCATGCCCTAGCTCCGAGCCGCCTGCTGCTCGCCACCAGCTCCGCGCCGCCCGCTGCTCGCGCTACCCCATGCCCCAGCTCCGCGCTGCCTGCTGCTCGTCGCCAGCTGCGTGCGTCCCACTGCTCGTGCTGCCCACTACCACCAGCTGCTTGCAGCCCGCCGCATGCCCGCTCGCACGCCGCCAGTTGGCTCGATGCCTGTTGCTCGCAGCCCTGCCGCCTGCCCGCTCGCCGCAGCCCGCTCATCGCTGGCCCACTCACACGCCGCAGGCCCGCTCGCCGCCAGCAGCTCGCCACCCGCTGCCTGCTCGGTCGCCACCCACTGCCTGCTCACTCGCCCTCTGCCAACCAGCTCGCCACCCGCTGCCTGCTCGCTCGCCCATTGCCTGCCCGCTCGCCCGCCACCAGCCAGCTTGCTGGCCGCAGCCTGCTGCCCAATGCCTACCCGCTCACCCGCTGCCTACCCGCTCGCCCGCCGCCAGCCAGCTCGCCGCCCGTTGAGCGCCGCTCGCTGCCTGCCCACTGCCAGCCACTTCGTTGCCCACCGAGCGCCAGCTTGCCGCCTGCATGTGCAGTCGCCAGAGCAGGCGCCACTGCCGTTGCACCCACAGCCTCTGCTGCCCGCCCCGCAGCCGCTGCTCCCGGCAGCCGCAGTCGCAGCCACAGCCGCAGCCGCAGCCGTAGCTCGCCACAAATGCAGCCAAAGTCGCAGCCAAAGCTCGCCGCAGCTGCAACCACAGCCGCAGCCACGATCGTAGCCCGTCGCTTTTCGCCTCTCGTTCACTCGACCCTAGTCGCCTACCGTCAGCTCTACCTTAGGACCTGCCGTTGGCTCATCTACTGCCGCCATGCGTGGATCCTACCAGATCCAGCCCCTGTCTGGGTGCGTGTGGCGCATGTTTATCCTGCTGGCATGGCGGCCCTGCCGGCATCAGTATATGTCCTTCGGCTGGACGCCGAATGCCATACGGTCGGCTTCTCAGCGTGGCTTCTCGCTCTTTGCCGGCAGCTGATGAGCCAGCATGTGGACGGCGAGTCACTGGTAGCTCACATGACTGGTGAGCTACCTTCCCCCCTCTCGCCCTACTTCCCTTGGAGACGATGTTGGCATAGCGTGCGGAGTACGCAGCTGCCAGGGCCGCCCTCTCCGTCCAGCGGTCGCGCGATGCCGCTGCGCTGGTGGCCATTACCCGGTGCCTGCCGATCGACGAGCACGTGCACTTCGAGTTGTAGGAGACGGCTGAGGCACTCTGGGATGTGTTCGTTGCTCGCTAGTCAGCTCCATCCTGCGCCACCCTTGGCCGCCTCCTCCTCCTCTTACTCCGCATCCCAGATCTGGCCTCCTTCTCCACGGTCGGGGATTTGGTGGCGCACTTGCGCTTCCTCGGGGCTCGCTTCCGTGCGGCCTGCACCAAGGCTGAGCTTGTCACTCACCCCCCGCCCACCTACATCACCCTTTACCTCCTCACCACCCGCCTCCCTTACTGTTTGTCCCTGCGCGCGATGCCCTCCTTGCACTGCACCCCACTGCCCTCATCATTGACCTCTTCTCCACGTCGTGGCGGAGATAAAGACCCGCCTCTGCGCCATCACCCAATCCACTAGTGCGGTGGTGACCCCTAACTTTCAGAGCTGCCCTCCGCCCCAGATCACTATCCCTGGTGCCTCCGCCTCTGTCGCTGAGACCGCTGCAGCGGTCACTGCACCCGGCCGATCTGCTAGGCGCTCATAGCGCCCTCGTGGGCATGGGGCCTCGGCAATGGGGGCATTGGTGGGGCCTGAGGTGCTATCGGAGGGGCAGGTGCAGAGGAGGAGGGGGAGAAGCAGCAGCCGTAGTAGCAACAACAGTAGCCGCAGCAGCAGCAGCAGCTACAGCCTCAGCTGCAGTAGCCACCGCCATCACTGCAGCAGCAGTGGAGGTCGTAGCAGCAGCACCAGCTACTGTGGGGGCCGGTGGGTCCTGGGAGTATTAGGCGT